AGTCACGCGATGTAATCGCGACGTGTCCTCGGTGGTGCACGCGAATTGAATAAGACTTCGCCACGCCATATCACGTCTACGCTTCTCGAGACTCGATCTTCCGTGACTGGATATTACAACCGTGATTTATGGTACCTGTCGCGGTAACGTTTATTTTACCGTCGTTTTCCCAATCTCTTTCCCGTTCGCTTTTTATCACCGTGTCTCTCGCGCCGCTGGTTAAATTCAGATTACATGTTCTGGAGACAAATAGAATCTAGTTAAGAAGCAATGACAGTATTTTTCAACACCGCTTATAATTTTCCACTTGCCAATGGTGAAAAAATTCTGAATAATTAACTAAATATACTATTGCAATATTACATATGATTCTTACTATTAGAAACGCTGCTGTAACAGAAACGCCATTATAATGGTAATTAAGCGAATTAAAAATTCAACTGCTTTGAATAAGCGGTACAAACGTGAGGATGAATTTACCGACTGCTAAGCGGTTTAATGAACAGATATCCAGAGAGGAATATTAGAAATGAAGAGGGCCTATGGAAACGAGATAATAAATTAATGGACGACGTTGACCAGCCAGTTTATTGGCTAATAAATTTCCTTAATGAGCATTCCTTGAGTACTGAGTTTTTTGCCTGGTTCAAAGAGAACTGGGATCTCGGCTTAAAAGGATTTCCTACCGTTCCATCGGTTTATCACCACTTTTATTTTTATTTTTTCTAGTTTTCATGCGAGACTTAAAGCCGATGCGTGCTTTCGTTTCTGGAAAATTAACGGACGGTCGAGAGATTGATCGCGAACGTTTTTAAAACTCGATCTTCCCGATTCGAGTTTCAGTTTTCCGGCCTGTCGGGTCTCGGATCAAAGGAGTTCTTGCCTCGATTCACTTAATCCGAACGCGCGATCAGACGTGATGGGTCACGAAACGCGAGTTTTTACACGAAAGGGCATCGGACGTAAAAAGCACACGCCACCCGTTTTCGAACGCGAACCCCATCTGCATGGGAAAATACGCTTTCGGTCGGTTTGCTTCTTATAGAATTTTTATACAACGTGTTCTCTCGGCGTCGGCGATATCACCGATAAGGAACTGATTTCACGTGGAAAATAAATTGAGAACGTATATAGGCAACCTGCGTTTCAGGCAAAATGGAATTCAGATTTTATGCAGCACTCGGCTACAGATTTGATCAACAGGAAGTCGTTCTGTATTTGAAAACTGCGAGAGGATTCTAAATATTGGCTCTGAAAATCTAAAAAATAAATGAACGTCGTGCATAAAAAAAAAGATAAAATCTAAAGATTCTGACAAAGAATCTCTGCACGTGAGTTTAAGGATGTATTGGGTATACAGTCAATCCCAAAAGTGTATGTACCATAGAAAAACGCATTTCCTATAATTAAAAAGAAATCAGAGGTTGGGAAAATAATGCTAATAATAAATAGCTACGTGCTAAAACGTATAGAAGAAAATATCCAATTAAGTATTGACGCTGACGAAAAATTTTCAAAATTGCGAAAAATGCTTCAACTAAAAGTTGTTTTCCTTCTAACTTCGATATTTAACGAGTTACGTATGATTATTTGGCATTTTATTGGTGTTGACAAAATCCAACCATCCCAGCGTCGAAACGGCGAACTTTTGGCAAAAAATTTCATTTTTCCTTAATTACTCC